TTCTCTAAAAAGAAAGTACCATTAGATTGTTGAAATGAAACAACACTCTAAGTTCTTATTCCCGCCAATTTTTATATTTTTCCGAAAAAAAAAAGAACGAAATCGATATATTAATAGCATTTGAAAGTTACGTTAATCGCTGCTGTTTGTTCATTGGATAAGTTATAAGTTACTCCAAGTACAGTACATCGAGAAGCTTAAGCTGATCCTGAACGTGGCTCGATACCAGAAGAGCGGCGAGTTGTGACAACTTCTTGGAAAAGATTAGGCGTCGTTAGCGGCCTTCGCCGGACATCGACCCTGTCGGTAGTGAGTCTGTCTCAGCCTCAATGTTGCTCAAGTTCTCAGATGTCTAAACATCGAATTCTTCTATATAACGTGATCAACGTACGAGATCGAATATTTCCGTGATATGTTAATACTTCATTTCACCATAGGACTATAATCATAGGTTTTAAAAGAATCCGTATCCGGTAATTTTTAGCGGCGTGCCTCTGCGTGCGCCATTTTGGTACCACGCTATTACGATTCGAAATGTTGCAATTTTAAAAGTAAATTGAAGTTTGATTTAACTTCTCTGGCACAAGTTTTGATTGAGACTTTACCTCAACATTGATTGATTAATGAATCTTCCTGTTCATTTTTATGGTAGTTGTGATTGCTTTTACTCAGATTACTTTACATTTCTATTAAAACATCGACTATCATATAACGTGAAAAATTAGAAGATAAAATGTAACGGACAGGGCTACGAATACTTTTACTAACTTAAAAGACTAAACTAATTTCACTACTCGTCATATCTTATTATTTGAAAATAATTTAAAACTGCCGATAAGAGGTAACAAGAAAGCCTGGTTAAATTAGAACATTTTTACTATTTATAGGATAATTTGAAGAACGAAATGAAATCGTTGGAAAGAAGTAGAAGATATATAATTTAAATAAACATTGCTACGTCTCGATAACCCAAACCCAACCCAAATCAGGTTCTAAACTTTTCCACTACAATCGTATCACACATATCGATTTCAACGTGTCATTCTAAGCAACAAGCGTCGGTATTAAAACGGTGTCTAAGGAATCGGAGCCTCGTAGCACGTTAATTAAATCTTGTCAGAAATGGAAACAGGTAGTCATTGACGGTGAGAAGCACACGAGCCCTTAGAAATCGGCCCGGACAAAATCTCTAGAGGAAGAATGAAAGTAATGTCGTAAATCCTTTTGCGGGAGGTTCTCGCCGTTGCATTGCGAGCACTTGTGCAAGAATCTCTCGTAAGTCAATCCACTTCCCCTCCGATGGTTCGTCGGGTTTCCCACTCGACAGCCATCTCTCCCACCAAATCTGTCCGGGAAGAATCCGCAGAACGTTGGAAGGGATGGATCTGCCCTCCTCCCTGCTTCAGAAATCTTTACTCTATCGGTTAGGTGGAGGAACCTTGTACTACAAGATGGATAATTTGTCGTTTTAACGGCAGCGCACGCCGACGCAAAAATCTTGTCCTTCGACGAAACAACCAGCCTACCGGATCTCCTTTCTGGTTTTTGCGCCAAAGGGATACTGTCGGAAATATTCGTCGGAAGAATACCGCCCTATCCTTTCCGGGTTTCCCAGTGACGTAACGCTACGTCACGGAAACGCGTTACGCGTATTTCGTCAACTTATCAATAGAAATTCATATATCTCGCGAGTTCTGATAAGAGAAAATGATTTGAATGTATTAATAAATGGGATTTCGTTTTTTTTTTTTTAGTATTATATTTATTAATCTGTTAATCCGTCTATTTGACCTGTTTAATCTGTTGTCCTGGTCTCTTAGCCAAGAATATTTATAATTTCAGAATTAGTAACTAACGATGACATTCTAATTGGGTCAATCTTAACTTTTGCAAATATAAGTACGATATGGTTTATTTTTAATGGAAATGACACGCACAGTACGGCGGTTGAATGAGAATTCGGAATAAAAATCAAAATTCGCTGGTGGTCGTAGACCACGTTTGCCACGGTCGCACGTTCGCAGTCCACGTTCGCAGGTTCGCAGTCCACGTTCGCAGACGACGTTCGCAGGTTTGCAGACCACGTTTCCACGTTCCACAGTGCGGCATTTGAATGAGGATTCGGGACAAAAATCAACAAATGCGTATAATTCGAATATACAGTTTTATAGAAACTTGATATCAAAGCATGTGACACGAGTAAATTTTTGTTAATATTTTCGTTACCCTTTGGCTCAGTTGAATATTTATTTCCTTGGCCAACCACACGCGGTGACGTTCAAGCAAATAGTGTTGATACCAAGGACAATCTTTCTATTATTTCGTAAGGATCATGCACAAGTCATTTATCTCCCCTTTTATTCCATAACGTATTGTGTTGACACTTAGCAAAGGACAGGGAGTTTCCATAACTTAAAAAATTTGTTTGGAATAAATATAATCAGAATTCCACTTCTCGACCAAGTCGCGATTGCGAATGCATTTTGCTAGAAAAGTAAACAACATCCAATGTAATAGTTTGTAGCAGAAAAAAGTTATATAGCAATGTGATACAATATCTTCTTGACACAGAACAATTAAAATTATAGGATAATTTGGATCCTTTTCTTTTAAGATCGTTCTTTAAAAAAAGAAAGGAATTTTTAAATTAGAAATTAACATTGTACATATCTTTGCTCAAATTCTTTATGTTTAAGATGTAACAAACGCTATTTAACAAGAATTGGAAAACAAGAATATATAATTGAGTGAGTGAGCTAATTTTCATGCGATTAAATTTTAATGTACAAGCGATGTTTACTAATCCTCTATCGATTTTAGGGGGAATTATTGTTTACATTTATGCTATTTACAGACTGATGATATCATCGAATAATAAGACCAAAATCGAACAATGATTATTTCGATTTTTATTCACTGTATGACACACTATGCTACATATTAAAAACTAATAGATCCATGTATAAATAAAGAAATTGTTATATTCAAGAGATTGGAAATCCGAGTAACGGGTTAACTCGTTAACTCGTGAAAGTGGTTAACAAGTGAAAATGTAAAAAACGGAAAGACTTTTCTCACTTGTGACGTTCTTATTTCCTTTTTGTGTATCGAGTGATCCATAAATGCGCATAAACGATCGGTGAAACGCGTTGATCGATTTGCATAATAATCGAAGCAAAGCTTCTTGATATCGGAGGCCAGTATGACGCAAAGAAATATGTAAAAGTTGTCTATGTGCCATATGATATATAAATGAAAGGCGTTAACGGCGCGTTACTGCGTCGCCTAGTTAATTAGAAGAATTAATTAGCATCGATAAGTAGCATAATTAATATGCGCAACCGAGGCGCCTTCCTCCGGATGTCGATGCGGTGTCGAAGATGTCGCGATTTTCGGCATCGTGAAACGAACTCCCACACCTCCATCTTCGACCACCTACGATGATTCGTGCATCACATCGAATTAGCAGAATACCAAGGTTCGAAGGGAAAGTCTCTTAACTCGTATAAATCTTTATTGTACTTGATCGAGCGAATCAAACGAGTTTATTGAGAAAATGAGTTTTCGAAACTCGCAAGTATTTGCATAAAATTAATACCGGTTCTATATATGTTCGGCTGAGTTCCGTTTTGCGATTTTGTCGAAAAGGAACGTAACGTAACGAAGTAAGCAGATAATGCGTTGGCATATACTAATGTCATCGTGTTACGTTCATGCTGTTTCTCAATGACATTCCACTGGTTTCATTCATGATGCGCTTGTTACTACGCCTTATTTTGGGTTCTCTGACTGTACGGTGTAAAATACGTATACAATTTAATGAAAGTTATGGGATTCAATATATTATTTAAGTTGATTCAATATACACCTGTAAAAGTGGCACTTATAATCAGAATATAAAGAATGTTATTTTAAAAGTTGTCATTTGTGACTTTAGACAACTAATATTTCGTAATACTCAAATCGTGTGTTTAATTATTAATAGACTGCGCGTATTTATGAATTAATGAAAATTATAAAAAATGTAGTTAACGTATCTAATTCGTAAAAATGTACAAAATAAAATGCTCGTTGGAACGTTTAGAGGATAAATCAAATCTCTATTTATATTATAAATCTCTATTATAATATTGTAAAAATAGTAAAGTAATAATATTACCTACAATAGAAACAATATTAAGAAACGCAACGTTATTCTATCAGGATGCGACGACATTAAAGGACAATTGTACGAATAGAAAAGAAAATGATGACAAGTGAGTGGCATTATTTGATCACTGGAGCTGATCGAGAATGTAATCATAAGGTCGGAATGAACGGTTGGCTCGCGCGAATCGCGACGATCATTTCTGACAGGAAGTCTGGCCAAAGAGGAAGCCTCGGTCTGCGTCAGCAGACGTCGTTCTCTACCGTACGCCTTTCGTGCCGGCTCGTGCCGTTTCAGCTGCATTCATGCCTTTTGCATTTGCTCGTGCAGGCTTGCCGACAAAGACCGCCGGCGTGGCACTCGCATCGCATTTTCGATTACCTGCTCGACACAGCTCGCTCGTGTCTCGCACCCACGTTCTTTCATTCCGACTCCGCGTCCTCGAAACGAATGATCTGTATGCCATCGTATCGCTCGAACGATACGTCGTCCACCTTATTCTCGTTTACGAAACGAGCTGATTTGCTTATTAACACATCTCCTGCTGGTCACGTAAAAATACCTTTTTTTCGTAATATCGTTTCACCGTTGATTACCTTAAAGTATATCCACCTTGTACAAAATTGTTGTATTTAGATTTACGATTATCCTTTTAAAACATTGCTATAATCGATGAAGTACTTGATAGAAGAAGCAGGAAATAATACGTTATAGACAAGTAGAAGGACGACGTACTTTTATATGAACGATTAAGCGATCAGATGTATCTTTGTGTAATCAATGCAAAATATGTTAACATTTAGTCGATATGATCAGATGATCGTTCTATCGATTAAAAATATCATTGAGGATTGATCCATCAAAGAACAACGACAGATCAAAATTTGCAACCTTCTTCAGTGAATTTATTTTAAATTGGCCAAACAGTTCTTTCGTTTACACATTGTTGTATACATTAGTGGTTATTTGTAACATTATTGAATTCTATTTTTAACATTGGATGTATTTTTGATATAGCATTTTCGTAGTAGGTTTAATATTCCAGTCTAAGTGTAGTATTTATACGTTGTTCTGTTTAATTTTAGAATTCTTCTGATCTAGTGTATTTATTATAGTACTTGCTCTGTGTTTCGCAGCAACGTTCCTTTATATTATTGATTTACTCTGACATTTGTACTTTGCGTGCCTATCTTTAGTATCAGTTTCACCATCACGTACGCCAATCGATCACATTTTCTACCGTGAAATACGCGATAAAGAAAGCTTGTTATTTTCCATTGTAACAGAACGTTATCAACGTTCGTGTTACACGTCAAAATGTTACATTGTGTTTCTCCCGGCAATGTTTCGCATAATTTAAGTAAAAAATGCGTTCAACCGAGCATTTCGTATGTTAAATATAAATTAAATCCTTAATCTACGTATTATGTACGTACTTTTAATTCAACACATTGTGGATCATTATTATCGCGCTCAAATTGATTTACTTCAATTTGCACAATTAATTTCTTCAAGAGTTATCATTTGAGAGATTAATAAATACTGTTGCACTCAGTTCACATTCGCAAAGGCTTCCGTGCAATTCGCGTTCGGTAACTGGGTGCCACACCCTTCCGTGCCGCTTCCGCCCTTCGTTGAGAGAAGTTAGTAGCAAATTGGAGACTCCCTTGCCTTTCCTTCCAGTAATTGGCAAGCGATGCACTGGGCGTTTTTCTCGGTCCGGCCCCGATCCGTAATTGCATCCGACCAGCGAACGGATCCACTGTGCACACGCATAGATGGAGGCAGGCCATGCTCGCTACAAAACGATTGAGAAACTTCTAAGTACATTGTTTCTCTTCCAATAGCCGACGAACGAATATCAATGTTCGAACGTCCATTTGTAGCGAGCTTATTGATGGTCGAAGTTAAAGTTCAGTAAACAAGTTGTAAAACTTCTAATAAGTCGATTAATGTTACAAATCGTCGTTGCTTAAAGAAACGTTTTAGGGTTGAAATTTTCATACTAAGAATCGAATACGTGAAAGTAAGCGCGTCATAGTCAATCGGTAGAATAAACGAAATTTCCTATCGTCATCGATACGTTCAACTAACAAATTAAAATAAGACAACTTCCTATTAACAAATTAGGCGACCTCGTCAATAGTTTTATGTTAGATCGATATTTATACAAATATACGTTAACGATGTTACGAATTATTATTAAAATTATTATGGTTGTTAACAAAAGCGATGATTAATTTCAACAAATTTCCCTTCCATTCGTAAGTTACAAACGTATTACTAGACTGCAGCTTTTTACATTTCATGGATTTGTGAGGAATTCAAGTGTGCAAAAATGTGCAGAATGCACGTACTGTGTGAAGATATATAAAATATCCAAGATAAGTACTTCTGTTATAATAGTTGGGAAACAAAACGTAATCTCTGCCCAGGTACCATTTCACCAGTGTTTTACAATATGAATTTACATAAATGTCCGTAGTCTTATTACAAAAATCATTCACTTAACATTCAACTTAATTAAGTTTCCTCATAAATCATGTCACCCGAGTTATACTGAATAACGCGCAAAGAAATCTCTCTATTCCCAGAGGAACAAAGAAAAAGGATTAGCAAGCGACGGAAAACTATCGGTGAGAAGTTGATGGTCATACTTGCGCCCTGTCATTTCACAACTCGTAAAAGCTGCTCCTTCTCCACCTTCTTCTCGTTCTCTTCATTCGGTTGATTATTTCACTGGCGGATCGTTGGCCGATGACAGGTGAAGCCAAGTTGTGCAAGGAAGGTAATGCAAGAAGAGATTGGAAGCGATCCATTCGACCGGATATAATTGTTCCGTTACTAATTGACTTTTGCGGAGTACCTTTTGCGCGGATCCAGCCACCTACTTGCCTTCTTACGTTAACAAAGCTGATTTGCTTTACCTTGGTCTTCTGTAATAAGCGTTAATTCGAAGAATAACTTGTGCAAGTGGATCTTCCTTATTATAAGGAAGATATAACTGTCGATAGATTGTTTCTGTTTTAGCTCGACAAGATTTCATTATAGAACTTTCCGATCGAAACAGCACATATTTAGAAAAGTACAAACGTGGCTCACCTAACTCGACTTTTAGTTCTACGTAACGGGCTTGTTAAAGGAAAGAATATCTAATAATAATCTTAGCTTTTTTACCATTGTCGATGTTTATCTAGAAATCGAAGATGAAACCGGGATTCTGGAAAGATCTTCGTTCCTTCGACAATGAGATGTGTAAAAAGTGAGAGCAAAGAATGAAATAGTTAATTCAAAATAAAATAAATAGAGAATTTATCTTGCGTAGTTAAAAACATTCAAATGATCGTATGTTACTAGATATATCGTTTATCTATCATTCGTATCTTCTGTTTGATTCCAGATCTTATAGAAAGAGAGCTTTATTTCAGAAAGAAATCGAAAGTCTATTAACGAAATTCAACTGTTTTTGATTATTTATAGCATAGGCGTGAATAAAATATTTGTAACGGCAAAGTTTTGTTTCTTAAAGAATCTACGCCTTACACCTCATTGTATTTCCAATGTATCCATATATTATGCTTCACTAAATAATGATTCACGTTACTCTGCTTACTTTCGATACGTCGTGCTATAATCGTCGTTACAGCTCCCACGATCTGCGTATATCGCGATCAATCGACTAGAACTATCGTACTGGTGATTAGGTATCGCAATGACAAAAATTCGAGGGGAGTCAAGTAAAAAGATCACGCACGTGATCATGTGTGCCGCGTCGTCATGTATTATTAGCAGGTAGCTTGTTAGGCGGTCGGTTTGTGGATAATGGCAGGTATTACAACACGCGACCGTTATTAACCCCTCGGTTGGTCTCCCTTGCTCTGTCACGACCCCCTTTAATCTGTCTTTATTTCGACCCTGTAGCCGCGGCTCGTTCACTCGATTGAGAGGAACACCCTACCAGACCAGATATAAATCATTATTCATAATAAGCTGTCGCGACAAAAAATTTCTACCGACAGATCTTAGCTACGCTAAATGATCGCCGTCGTAGTTGTCTCTCGCCCCACCGGATGACTCCCCACCGGTTCTTCAGAAGACCTCGAGGAGATCATCGCGCGATTAAAGGACGCCGCCTTGTGAGAATCCAAACGTTCTCTTTTAAACTCATTTTCAATTCGGAACTTCTGATTTCTAGAGAGACTAAGCGCCATCCTATAAAAGTAGATGAAATTATCGGAGATGACTGTTTGACGTGACTTAAACTCCGTCTATACTATATATATAGTGAAACAATTGCCTTGAGCATATAACAAGTTGTTTTTATACTCGAGCTGTACGATACATTCTTATAACTTGTTCTTATATAATTGTTGTATCTTTCTCATATCTTATATTCTTATATCTTTTGATTTTGTAACAAGTTTTTATAAGATTTTGTATCTTTTTTGTTAGTAATGGTGTCGAGTGTTAACTCGACAGTAGTAGCTTAGGTGATCTAGTCAAAGATTTTATTCCTTGCCAAATTTGATTTATAAATGATCATAAGAAGGCAATGAGACGTTGCAATTAAATATTCATGTACCCTTAGTAACGAAATGATCATTTTATTATTTAAATTGTGAGATACAAAGATAAATGTTTTAATTCACTATGTGTATATTTGACTAAAAATGAAATATGAACAAACTTTCTAAATTTTCTTTATAGATTGACTTTGTATCAAACCTTTTTCTAGAAGCGTAACATAAACTTCTAACTAATTTGTTACTAACTCTCAATAAACGCAAGTGAAATATCTAACGAACAATCGATACCGATTCTATCCCATTCGCAACAAAACTGTACATGCTAACAGATTTGAAACACGGCATTCGTCCAGTTTATTTGAATCTTATAATCTAGTAACAAGCATCGACGACCGCGATCAAGAATCATATTCCCAGGTGGTTCGAACCCGGCAAAGAACACGTCTTCATTTTAGCAGTTCGAAGGTGGTGGTGACATTCCAATGGACTAGGACGCGGGCCGAGCGGAAAAGACACGATATTCCCGTGCACGTGGAGATCGATGTCCTGGAGAACGTGGTCTTCACTGTCCTCGTCAAGCAGCACCTCGTGTCCCGATCATCTTCGTCGTGTGGGTCCGAGCGTGCCGGACATAGCACCGCGTCCTCGCGATCGCCAGGGTTTTGCCGTTGCGCGACCCGAGTTTTTCGCTCGACTCTCCTCTGGCGGCAACTCGAGGCTTGGCAAGTCGGGAGTGCATTACACGCAATTAGACGCCAGGGTGGCCCCAAGGTATGTCCGATAAACGGTCCTCCTCTTCCCTTCTCCGCCTACCACCATCGCCTTTTCCTTCACGACTCTCTTTCTTTCTTTCTCTTCCTTCTTCTTTCTTCCTTTCTTTCCTCCTTTCTTTCCCCGTGCTTCTACCTACACAGGTCTCTTTTCATCTCTTTTACCCTTTTCGTCTCTTCGTCGTTCCATCTCTTCTCTCGCCCCTCTTCCATTTTGTCGCAGATTTCTCAGCCGTACGATTTCTCTTCCTGCACCTTCCAATACCCGTGGAGCATAGCATGAGAAACAGACTCTGTGCCAAGCTTCGGTTCGTCTCCCCCTTTGCATCATTCCTCCCCATTCCTGCCTTGTCCTTCTTTCTCTCTCGGTAGTTCTCCCTGTGTTTGCCGTTTCTTTCATCCACAAAGGGGACCTTTCCTTTCGGAGCAAACGTCGCGGACCTATCATCCGCAACTCTATGTAATTCGCCGTGAAAATGACCATCATGAACTTTCAACCCCGCCGTGTGCGGCTACATATTACTTAGGCACTTGTTTTACAATATAACGTAATGTATATATGTACGACTTTTAAAATAAGCAGGAAATATATAATATACTCGTTCCATATCAATGATATATATATTCTCCATATAAAATTGCAAGATTCTAATAAATGTTCGATGTTGGTCCAAAAACTGGAATTTAGATTTATTTCAAATTTGACGTATTTATTTCTTCCTCGTTATTTTTAATATATATTTGGAAAATGAATTAAAGATAATAAAAATAAACAGTTGATTTATACAGTTGATTTATAATATTATACGATAGATAATAACAAAACTAATAACATAAGGACAATGTCCCATGGAAAAGAAAGAGGAATAGTGAAATAAATTTCGAATTGAATATGTACTATCTGTTAATTTAAAAATAATATCTCCTATTAATTTGCGATATTATATTGTATATATCGAAGAACGATGATACAAGGACAATGTTCTCTAGAGAAAAGAAAGGAATCGTGAAAGTCTGTTACACGAATTTCGACTACAACGTCGATCGTCTCGTTCTAAGAAAATGGAATGACATATCAACGGGCTTCAGACGTTCATCGCATTAAAGACTATGGAAACTGTAGACAAAACCAGAACACGTTTGATTCGCTTGAATAGTACCTCCCGACGACAAATACAATTGTGGTATGCGTGTCGCAAAGTGAAAGAGGCGAACAAACATAGTATCGCCTCGGTCTCCGCAAAAATGTCCAACTAATTATATTTGTGCGTGTGCGAACACGTGTTTCACGCTTGTACGGACAGTCAATGGAGACTGTGACTATCGTCGAACAGGTTGGCACACGGTCCTGTCGTTGTACAAGAGAGGCTGGTACGCTCTCAGAACAAAATGGGAGGAGACGAGAGAACGCAAGAAAACAGCTCATAGAAGAAGTACTAGCACCGTTTAAAGCAGGATGCGAACAGACCGGCGCGTTCTAAGTGTAATTACCATTGGCGCAATTAATTTAGCTAAAGAGTCCCGGCATTAATTTACAATGTGAGTCTCCCTCTTTCTGATGTCCTCTCCTCCTCTACTTAATGCCCTCGTCAACTGTAGCTGCCTGCATCGGCATTCCTTTCTCGCGGTTCTCATCGATGTACCGTCGTGAATTTCATCCGATTTATAAATCATCGTCGAAAGATCGAGCCGTCGATAGAACTGCGGTAAACAAGCGTTCACGTTGTAACAATGATAATTGACACTTATTACTGCATTTTTCTTTACAATTATCAGCTGCTTTCACAACGTATAAGGTTTTTATCCAAGTTTTGTGTGACGAATCTATGTTTTCAATCGTTTAACGTTTGGTAATTTAGCGTATAATAAAAGATCAAAATTAATAGAAGCTAAGAAATTGATAGATGAAAATGGAAAAATATTTCAGCGAGCGTAGCGAGCATTAAGATCAAAGATCAAAGATAGAAAGATCGTTGTGTATGAAATATCGAACTGAAACGATTAATTAGTAAGAACACATTGATCACATTGATCTTTATTTCTCATATTTTATAAGTGATAATCTAAGCGTTTTTCTTTTCAAAACGCGATTTATCTGTGACCTTTTATACAAACCATTTTCGAGGTATTAATTTTCAGAGTTGATATCTTGGTCGTTTAAAGATGAAAATAATGTATTATACGTATAATATATAGCCAGTTAATAATATTTGTTCAATGATTTAATTATATTAACAATTAATCTATTTGCTTGCGCTTTTATAGAAATTTTTGTAGAAGTAAAGCAATTCAGATATATTTTGGGGACTGTTGCGTTTCTTTTAGGAATTCTTACATCTGATAGACGTTAACAACTTTACTACGTAGCTGAACGGCTAAAGAAAATGGACAATGTAACTATCCAAGCTTGACTGACAGAACCAACTTTCTTCTAGTTTATAATCTTGTTACAGCTGTGGCAGATAGAAAGGTGGAACATTCGAATAGCTTAAAATTGCGATCTCTACACGAGATCAATTCTTCGATATTCACTGCAGAACACGTGTCTCTTCCGATTCTCTACTTCGATCACCTGGTACTTGAAGTATCAGCTGCTGACCTCTTATTTCCCAAGCACTTTATGTATTACAAGATAAGTTACCAGCTTTCGATTTAATATCAATCATTTAATAACAACTTGATTCGTAAAATTTGTCATTTCGTTAATTTTCTATTCGTAAGAAACAAATATTCAGAAATTGAGTCGGATATAGACTCACCATTTTGTATTTTTGATCGTACCAACATTCCTAACAATAATTTATACGTTGCACGTAATATTAGATCTATCTAATAGAAGATGAGTTTTTTTTCAGAGTTGCCAAATCTATATTTTACGTTGTCAATCTATATTTCTATATTATAACTATATTAAATCTATATAATCTATATTAAAACAGAGTTTGACAAAGGATGTAAATTCATACATATACACAGCACAGCAGTTAATAAACGACTCTAAGACACAACTCGACAAGGAAGGTTTTATTCGAAAATTTCAATGTCTTGTTAACCCATTGCTGTAACATTTTGTCGGTTTTTCTGCATGGACCTATTTTAAAATTAACCATTTATTCCTTTGCCAGTGACATCGAAAGTCAAGCGTAACGAAAGAAACAGAGGCAGTTTGCGTAGCCTGAAAGAATACTAGAATCTTGACACACCTTTAAAGCCATGGGTCAGTCATTGTGAATGGTGAAGTACCGTGAAAAAGATCACGGAGCATTGTGCCCAGCACTGGCTTTACAACTGGGCGGGATGACTCCTAAATATTTTACAACTGCCTTACGGTCCTAACACAAACGGCCGCCCGTCAGGACGCCCATTTTTTCCCTTCTAACATCTATATAATATTTCACCTGGTGGGACGTGCTCGTGCCTTCTCTATAGAATGCGAACAAGACAGCTATTTTGTCGCACCACCTTGATGCCAACCGATTTCACGCAGTCGCAGCTTTTCTGCCTGTTATTGCCGTGAGGCTTCGATTAGTTGCTTGAGAAACTCGTACACCCAGTTCTGCTTTCATTTCGACATTTTTCTTACAATTTCAATTCAGCGTGGTCTAGAAGAAATCCGCAATTCTCTTCTTACACGATACAACTCGATCCTACATGGTTTAGTCGGAGATTTCGATATGATTTGGAAATAATTTATTATTTATACTAGATTTTGTTTGGAACTGATGAATTTTTTTCTTGGAAAGCTATTCACCGTTTAAGAACGGAATCAGATTGTAATGATATCGTTCTTGGAAAACTGTTTTATATAAGACGTTTCGTACAAACATTTCGTATATTAGAAATAACCCATTTTTCCCTTTCATCTTCAAAATACCAACAATACGGCATGTCTCCCGTATTCACCCTAATACATTTTGAAGGACAGAGACCTCTTATTTTCCATCAAGATCGCACGTTTGCTGTACGTTTGCCGAACGATCCGAATCCAGCCATAAATTCCCGGATGAGGAAACGTTTCGCGTCTCATTCGTTAAAGAAGTCTGTCGAATTACAGCGGAACAGCGGAGTTGCGACAAAAACCGTCGAGAAGAACAACACTGCCGTGGAATGGTTGGGAAGGACGAAATCCTCGGTGTGGACAGTAGACCGCGTCCACGAGGCGCAATCACGAGCACGGTCCATTGGCATTGGCCGGTGGTCCAATTAGCGCAGCATCCGATAAACGAACTCGCGGCAGGGTGGCTGTGCAATTGCTGGTAAGCCGCCATATAAATTTCTTAGTAGAAGCCGGTCTCTGTACAAGCAGCCAGGCTAACTGTGCTGTATACGCCGAGCTGGGCTTTCTTGCGTGCTCGCGCGATACTCGCCTCGACCGGGCGCGCTCGCTAAAGGGTATTAAATGCCTTCCTTCTAGGCTGACCGATGATTCTGCCGACGACAGTTACTATCTGGAATTTGCCGCTTTCCGTCAAACGACCAGGAGCCACGGACCGAGGCTGTACAGTTACCCGTTGCATGGCGACAAAGCACGCTTTTAAAACGCGGCCGTCGCGCTCTGCACGCAACCCTTCTTCTTCTTGCTCTGTCATTGCCCGACGCTTTGCCCCTGTTTCGGACTTCATCGTGTCGCTTCGATCGTTCTACGTTGTTTCGGGGTAAATGTGCCAGAATGTCGGTTTATGCAGATGTATATGATATTTGATAAAAGAATTCCTAGGTATTATTCGTACTGATAAGAGTAGTGTACGAATGTGAGACTTGAAGACATGGGAAATTCGAATCTTTCTGCTAAGAATTCGCTTATGTTTTGTCAAGCTCTATCAGGCTGCGTTATTAGCGCGTAGCTTTAATCAACCTGCGCTTATTTGTCAATAATTGACAACAAATGACGCTTATATGGCATCAGCAATTATTAACACTTGACATATTACAAATGACGCCAATGTGGTTTCAGCGGCGATCGAAGTGTTAATTGAGTTGTCACCGTTTTGAGAACACGTCTTTTGTATTTTATATTGCGATTCATCGTCGTGAGTCATTTCAGACAATATAAGGTTTCGATAAAGAGTTGGAGAAATTGGTACGAACGTTTCAGCTTTGAACCACCAAACTTGAAAATAGGACAGCAACAGTTACGATCGAAATTCGAACAGCCACAAATATGTCCTCCAATCATCGTGCAAGTTTAAGATTTAGAATTCTTATAGATTTCTTAATAATTCCCTAATATATCTCTTCTACTTTTGACTAATATTTAGGTACGCAATTTTATTATCGATGGAAGAAAACTAGGTTTTGTAAATATTTCTCACATTAGGATAATTACAGGTGACACTGAGAACTGCCAACTTGGCAAATCAACAAATATGTAAATAATTTTCCCAGTTTTGTTATTTGTATGAACTATAATAACGGAGCAACAAGTTACGACGTTCCTATTGAAAACTATTTCTTATTTCTCCTGAATTCAAGGCGTAAGGATATCAAAACACACATAGTTTTACGATTTGTGTATTCGATTATACTAACCATGTCAAAGTCGATAATGTATCTATTGGTAACGTTAAAATCTTTTTGTTTTACGTTAAAAAATATGAGTAGGAGGATTTGGCCTCTGGCCAAAGTTTCTTCTTCCGCTCGCTATTCAGCCAAGTTCAAAGTAACCCGCGAATAGCCTTTCGTTATCCTACAACCAACGAAGATTGCGAAGATTTTAGTTTGCAGTTTGGCATTCGCCAATCATCGCTACGTTCGTGGATCGCACTTCTTTCATATTCTTCGGTTCGATATCTTCGCGGCCGACGATATTTTTTTTTATATACGTACCATTGATTTGTAAATTAGTGTGCTGGGTGTAACTTGAGGACCAGCGATGTTGATTTTATGTAAATTGCATGTTGCACAGCAGATTATATGAATAGAGTGATTGAGAAATATTCCGTTGAAATCCTTGAAGAAACTGCAACTCGAAGCCACGTGATGATTGTGTTATAAAACGTAAGTTTTCTTGTTCGTACCTTATGTTTATATCTTATTTAATAACGTCACCAATACATGTTCTTAATACCGTCGTGTAAATTGTGCCAATTTTTTACTATTTTGTGATATAAAAATTTTGATATAAAATTGATGTGACATTGAATTGACATTTAAGATTGCGCAACAATGTTATAGTACCGGTAGAAACAAAGTTATGATGTATAAGTTAAAAATGTATGCATTTATAGTTAGACTATCGTATGTTTTGCATGTAACCGGCGTAATAAAACTGCGTAAACCGAACAGGAATATTACTCTGACCATTTCCTTTCATCGCTTGAGTGAGATTGTCTTTTTCTTGGCAAAAGAATACACTTATTCCGAAGATTCATATCTGTCTATCTATCGATTTCTAGAATGTTATTTCATTTCTTCTACGCACAATTTTGTCCTTCCTGTAAATAGCTACCAAAGTAAATGTTGGTAAATACTACCTATAATAGCTAACTATTAAAATCTGAGAAAGTTGTATTTTGAAAACTTATATTATAATTTTGTCGTGCAAGAAATCCGGAGTTAACTTCAAATTTCCAAGGAAATAGTAGTATCAGGTTATCCGTTTTGTTATGTATACACTATTTACTTATTTATTAATCTGGTATAATTATTATATTATTCATATTGCACCAGCGCCATATATGTGACTTTCAATGGCATTAAAAATAAATTTATAGTCATCAAGAATCTTAGAAGTTTATGAACTATAAGAAAGGGTTGAGATTTTTAAAGATTGAAATTTGCATAGCAGTTTCTGATAATTGCTTAAACATCGTAAACAAGATAATAAGGCGTTATCAGAGTTAAATTTATCGTGAGTTGCGTTTGTCGAGTTTACTTAGAAGACTTACAAAACAAATAGCTTACTTTTTTACAAATAGCAATATTACTTTTTATTTATAGCTATAGCTATATTTTATAGTCTTTTATTTATAACTAATGTAATCTGAATATTTTCTTAAAATTCTAATAAATTAAAAATATAAACGATAGATATTTGCAGATTTTTTAAATCTATTAAAGAATAGAAAGTTAAACTTTGTTATTGATAAACTAAGAAATTGCTTATAAAATTTGAAATCGCTGTATTTGTAAAAATTGTATAACATAAATCTGATAAGACTTTATTGATTGAAACTATTATTATTATATATTGCAATATACTTATAACCTGCTAACATGATCTACATTAAATCCAAATGTGCAGATCTGTCTTATGAAATGTATTTTATTTAATAAAAAATATGCATCTTCCTGACTGTGCAAGATTGCACAAGCAAATATCGTTTATGCAATCAGTATGGATGTAGAAGAGATAAGTTTGTGTCATATGTAATAACTAGGTCAACAGCATACAAACTAGCCATTAGTAATTTTATAAACGGATATACTTATCACATTAAATTCTTGAAATACGTCCAAATTCTATTAGCAAAAATTTATTATGACACTGTATTGAATATGAAATACTGCTATGTGCAAGAATACATATTATGCAGTGTCTCATATGTTCCACTAAACTACATATTTGTACTTCTGATATAAAGAGAATTATAGATTGGAGAAACAAAGTTTCTTTCCTTAATAAAACGAATAACTTGAGAAATAAATATTATCTAATATATTGATATTAAAGAATGTTAAGAAGAGAATAATAAAATAAGAATATTAATATTACAGAACTTAGAAAGCAGTAAAACTTCTAGAAGTAAGAATATTTATATTAGGGAATTCAGGAAGGAAGTTAAGACTTTGTTTCTATAGTTTAATGCACAGGGTAATCCATTATTATAACCTATAAATGTTTATATTTCGGAAAGTAAGTAGAATGGAAAAATTTTCTTCAAGACGAACACGTAGATTTTTTGTAGTGTTCAATTCTTAGCTCTTGAAATCTCGCTTTGGTAGTATTCATCTTCGTTTAGCACAGAACCGAATTGTTTGTTGCGGAAGGTCAGGAATATGCATTTGCGTTTTCTTTGCTTTTGAAACGTTAGAATTGGCCAACAAGAACGAAACTAAAACCTCGAAGGTTTAATACAAATAATGCAAAATTTATATTTACCGTAATATTTAGAATAATTAGTGACCATTCTAATAGATGATAATTTGGAGTACTTTAGCTTTTAGCAAGCATCTTTTTCATATTTTACGTAAATAATGTAATAGCGTGAACAGTGGTGCTAATAAAATGAACATATGAAATATTCTCATGATTTCCATATCCATAGATAACAAAAACAATTAAATAGTTTCCTCAAATAAGAAATTATTTATTAAGTAGTATGTAATATTGTATTGTATTAGATACTGAATGTTAATAAATTCTAAGTTAATAACAAACATGAGTATTCTAGAATTCTTCTTCTAAGTAAACTACCAACGATTGAAAGAAAAATATAGTTGAAGAAAGATACAATGCAACATTCGATCAATCAAAGAACAATAATAAAGTGTGGGTTTTTGTACAAACCAAAGTTAATAACATTGCAACAGTTGTATTAACGTAAATTTTGTTATTATTTATTTTTAGCACACATCTATTACTTTCTCGCCGTGATTCACTTATCCACAAATACACAATATCAACATGGATATGGAGGACGATATAAGCTCAATCGCAGAACAAAATACAAGATCACCTAGACGTAATAGACGTAATAGAATATCTCATAAAACAAGTATTAGAAAATTTCTCAGAAATGGTAAGTAAATCTACATCAATAAAAAAGTTTCAAAAATTTGCGACTAAATAATATGCTTATTTGTATTATTTTTATCCAAGTTTGGCGCAAAATCGAAGCCGAGATTGATGGAAAAGAATACAAGAATACGGATGACAATGGGGACCACTATTTCTGTAAGTGACTATGTTTGCAAGTGAAATTGTATAATTCAATAACAATTTTTATATACGCATTTTAATAGATAATTTGATATTTTATCAATAAATATTACAGTTACAATACTTCTTTATTTTAAAAATTCTTCTTTATCTGTAAGTGGTAAGAAAGAAATTTTTTGCGTCGAAGATGAGAAGACAAATATGCAATATAATATTCATCTAATATTATTATATTTGCCGTGTAAAATGTATCGCTGTCTAACGTATATAATTCTCATTTATAATATCTAATTACTATATTTATACAAGTTTTAGAAATAGATGTAGTTGTTACCTATAGTTGGGAAGTAAAACTTTGTAAAATAATTTATTCTTAATATATATTCAGAAGTTTTTCGGGCGTAATAAATAAAAATGTCACTGAATGGAATAATAGACTCCTTAAGAAATAAATAATTTACTATTTAAGTTCATTAGCTATACAATAATGTTTTAAATATTATATAACAATATTAATTCTTAAAATGCATTCAGTGAAAATAACTGTAATTATATATCTCGAAAGAAACGTTTAATATGCGTGATACTTATAAATCATAATACTACAAAGTTAATTAATTAATGTCTTCTTAATTAAATTTTAACTAAAGCAAAATACAACTAATCCTAATAACATTTTATAAGAAATTATAGCAGTCTATAATAAAAAAATTCTAAAAATAATAGCAGTATCTTATAATTCGTAATTCCAATTCCAAGTTGCATCTAAATACGTGAATGAGGCCCTAAAACGTGACGGAAAGGGTTAAACTTAAAAATCCTGAGCTAAAAAGGTGATATGTATCGATCTTTTATCTAACGGGCTAGTGATCTTTCAATTCGTATTTTGAAATTTTGTTTTAAATTACTAGAACTCTTCACTCTACTTCACTAGTTTTATAAATTATTGAAACCTTATCATTAAATGAAAAAGGTTGTAGATAAGCAACAAACTTATTTAGAAAAAGACAAACTCACTGCAATGTAATATTTAACACTACAGTAGACGTAAGTATCCATAAGGTAAAGTATTCATAAGCGATTCCATCATCAAAGCAAAATTTGTTGCTTTGATTTTGAAATCTGCCTTTCGCCAATAAATTATTAAATACAAGTCTTCTTGTATTTAATATCTGACACATGACGAAAACTGAACTTTCATATCGTTGTGAGTATTTAAAATTATACTTAAACATAAATCAATCACTCAAAATATTACGGTAACACAGATGTAATATTTATTGCAACGAAATTAGAGAATATCGGATTTCTCTATTACAAAATACGCAATTCAATTTTAACATTCACTTATGTGATAACTTCTGTAAACATCAAATGTTACTTTGAAGCTATTCAGTTTATATTAATACTACTGATATAAAATTTTAATCATCAGAAAATACAATATACAAGGAGATTCTATCCTGAACTAATGACTAAAATACACAAAATGTTACCACACTACGGGTAAATATCTGTGGTTCTTATGCTCACAAAAAGGTCTACGTAATATAACCAACCAGTCGTGTCGATTCGAATCTTTCGCCCTACGATATGATTAAGTGACCGGAAGAATAAAAATGCATGCGACTTACCACTAGGTGCGAAGAATATTGTTATTAGTATTATCTTTGTCCGGGAAACATCATGAAGGCACCGACCTGCATAATTAAAATGGTAGTTGTAAAAAATCTTTAACAAAAGAAAGATGGAACTTTATTACTTTTAGAACTTTAGTAAGAATAAATGTTCAATCTAAAATCTGATTTTATTTCAATAAAGAATAAAAATTTGGAACTTCACTAAATTACCTTCATGATTAACAGCAGTTTAAGCTATGAATAAGATAAAGTGGTATATAATATATATACTTACAGTTCTTGGTTTTTAAAGAGGTTGGATCCTTTTGAGGGGAGGGCTGATTCTAATACCGGAAAAGAGTATTTAAAAAGAAGAATATATCTGTGTGTTGTGTGTGTGTGTGTGTGTGTGCGCGCGCGCGCGTGTGTGTGTGTGTGTGCGCGCGCGCGCGCGCGTGTGTGTGTATGTGTATAAAAAAGATAAAAGACTATTAACGTGCTCGTTTAAATTACAAGCGACGGACAAACACTGGCGTTTAAATTCGCGTATGAATTCTGATTCAATTTATGATCACTAAGAACTATCTTAATCTCAAAAATATTGGAGATAACTTCACGTAGCAAACACTGACTCTGCTGATCACATTACACACGACCACGAATGTTCCCTGAAAATGAATAAAGGATTATATTAGAAGAAATTTAGAAAAGCTATATACACGTGTGTGTGCGTGTGTGTGTATGTATATTTGATATATATATCAAATGCCAGTTTGTGACAAAAACAGTTATATTGCGTAGTAGCTAAAAATCATGTTTGTCAAGGATTGTCAATCAAGAATACTTAACCATGATACATATAAAAATCGTGATCTACTAGCAATCTACTGTTGTAATAGCATCAATTACGGATTCATCGGAATTTTATTACAAACTTCTAATTTTTACTAGTTATCATAATATACCGTTAATCAACAATTATTTATTTAATAAATAAATAAGAATATAATATGTAAATCTGATACATTTTTACACACACAATTCTACTTTACTTTTTAATATGAGATTATATATTAAAGCATCACATTAATACAATTATTAAGGATATTAAGAATTATGTTAATTATATTCGACTATTCCTTGGCCTCTTAAATCATACAGTACGAAAAGATATACATCAAATTCATTTTGCTCTTCACGATATATATTTCGCCTGCTCTATTTTTATCAACTTCCATGATTGAATTACAGATATGTAACTTTAATGTTTCTTTAATCTAATTAATAGACATATTCGACAATGTAGAAAGAAATTTTAAAACTAATAATTTTAATTTTTACCTAATGGGATCTGGAAGATGTTCCGTTTCGCTGGACTTCCCGCGTAAAACTAACGTTTCTCCAAGACGCCATCAATCTATCGACCACGAGAAATTATATCGATGACATAATCGAATATCGCGATATGTAATTAGTAATTAGCGATTGCACACTCTATAGTTTCACTAGTTTCACGAAAGTGACGGTCTTTAATTCTTTTTTTAATATTTATATAGACAAAGTGTATTTTTAAATTTTTAGACATTACAGTTTTTTAAAAAGTTGTATATATAAATGTATGTATTTAGTTAGCTAGTTATAAGTTCTTTGCTTACAATTAGAGACAAGTAAAGTTTACTCCTTTCGAGTTCACTAATTAATTTTGATTCCGAAAGAGCGTTACATGTTGTTACATCGGATAATTCTGTGCTTTAAATGCTGTGAGATTTAGTGAGAAAGATGTCAATTGATAAATGTAATTTTTTTCTGTGATCAAACTTCAAGTTCTATGGCTGCAATTCAAGCTATGTAAGTACATACATTCATACATATATACACATATCTCCTATCATTTATATAACTCTATACTTGTAACATCGGCACAACTGTAGTAGTGAGAGTGCAATGCATATATGTGACGTGTGTTGTAATTTTACGCTATTGGTGTTCTCTTGTGGATCCTAGATGATGTATGTTAGATTTAAATGAATAATGCTGTACATATTATCATTATAGAACCGTTTTCTTATTAAAATATAAAAACATAATGTATTTGATTTTCAACATATATATACTATATATATATATAGTATATATATGTTGAATATATACTATATATATATATATATATAGTATACATATATATATAGTATACATACATATATATATATATATATATATATATATATATATACGGGAATGTGTTATGTCCGGCTAACGTAGAGGAAAGAAAGAAAGGACGTTGCAGTAGAGAAGAATATTTACATTTTTTCTGCTTCGGTAGTTTTACACGTTAAAATAAATAAGGGCTTGATATCGATAAGATAGCTTGAAAAAAAAAATATTAAAAGAGGTAAAATTCGTCTAAATAGAATGTTTATTATTTATATTACATACCTATATTACACATGACGTAATTTTACGTCAACGGCTGTGAACGCGTCAAATCACGCACTGCATCGTCGGAATCGCAACAATCGTTGCAACATTGTACTTTTCGCATCGGAACTTTTATTCGACTCGCTGTCTCTTTCCTGGCGACGTTCTCGCGTTAGAGACATCATCGCAGCTATCCGACTCGATATTCCAAACCACCGTGATGTATCGATACAGGTGATACGAAGTAAATCGCTCTATACTATTATTGCGCATGAAAAATAAATAATTAAATAAGACAGGACGCAAGGCGATGACCGAGGAGTGTTTCGTCCTATCGTTAGTTTTTACCGTGTGATTTCCATTCGCGTCCTCGTTTGCATTCACGATCGCCCCGATTGATTTTCCACCACGTCTGCGTTCGAACGAATAAGACGAACACGAACTCGAAGTCGCAGAGCCGGTCGAACGTTTTCGTTTGTTACAACGGTAAGTTTGCGCGATTTGATCGAGGGTTTGACACGGAGCAGTTTTGCAAACAGAAACGGGCAAATAGAGGCGACGTACGAAGCGGAATACCGCTTCTCATGCGCGATATATTACAGTGTAATTATAGATATTGTCGTTAATAAATTGTTTTTTATTTTAGCCATTGGTTATTTTATTGAATCGCGTGTACCGACTCGACCGAGCATTCGCGCTTTTCAGATCGTTTATCGTTGCTTTTCTAGATCCGTATCTTTATCTTAAATACGGTAATTCTTAATGTTTAAGGTACTCATGAAATTATTTTAAATAATAATATATTATAAAAGAAAATAATATAAATTAAATTAATATAGAAATTACATTTTCTTTACAATTCGAATTAGAAAAATAATATTCTCTACAACATAAAAACATTATTTCGAAGTTTAATATAATTTTTATATTTTAACACAAATTCTCATTTGTAGTATTATATTTGTTCCATACATACATATTATCGATTTTTATCCTTTTCTGAGGAACTATAGCAGGAACCTAAATTAATAAAACTTATTAATATTTCTTATTATTTTTAATATTCTTACATTACTTTCAATATTTCTGAATAGAAAACAGCCTAAAAGCATTTTATAATTTACCTTTTTGAACACTTTGAAATTAAGATGAGCTCGAAGTGATGAATTACTTTTTAGTGCGGAACTTATAACATTTTGTGCTTTATGTTTCCTTTTTTCTTTTTCCTGAAATTTTGAAGTAAAAATGATATACAGTAGAATCCCCTACTTTAGAATTTTTTAATGAAATTTATATATCTATTAAACTTACCACAGAACATATAAGAGAATCTTCAGGTGTATTTAGTGGTTCTGTTGTATGTGGTGTAATTGAATTTTCTGAACATGTCGTTTCTTTATTATGCTTTTTCTCTACTTCTAGTGTTACAGGGTGCACATTTATTAATTCTATTTTTTTATTGACCTCACACATTTCTTTTAAATTTGTGGCAGCTATACGATTATCAGTTAATCGAGCTGTTTGTTGCATTTGCCTATTTTCATCTCTTGAATTACTTGTTTTAAATATATTATTCAATGTATTATGTATGAAATCTTTATTAGAATTCGTGTTATTATTTTTATTTTGCTGTACTGGTTTTAGTTCAATTTCATCATCACTTAAGATTATTACTTCCTTTGATTGTCTCTTATCCTGTACATTACCGTGTTTGTGTAAATTCTGGTTATCATGGTTAGAATATCGAATGATTTGTGAGAACATGTTAGGAAAAGTCGAATTGTTTTCATTAGATCGTATATCTTGCATACTTGCCTCTGTTGCTGAAGCATCAGGAGTTTCGTCTATGTATTGTAATTTATTACATTTTTGCTTTCTTGTAGGTTGTGTATCAGCAAAATTTGAATTTGATTGTAATTCTTGGCTACTAATGCTGCTCAATGTTTCAGGAATAACACATTGTCTTACTTTCACGAATGTTGTTTTCGAAAGGTTGGAAATTTCTTTTGGTTGTTTAACTTGCACATTTCTCATTGTTGCTGAAGCATCAGTAGGAGTTTCTTTTATGCACTGTATTTCATTATATCTTTGTGTTCCTGTTGGTTGTGTGAAAATATAATGTACATCTGATTGTGATTCTTGACTACTGATGCTACTCAATGTTTCAGGAATAACACGTTGTCTTATTTTCACGGATGTCGTTGCCGAAACGTTGGAAATTACTCTTGATCGTGTAACTTGCACATTCTCTGTTGCTGAAGTATCATTAGGAGTTTTTCTTATGCATTGTATTTTATTATATTTTTGCTCTTCTGTAGGTTTTATGACAACACCACTTACATTTGGTAATGGTTCTTGACTGATATCCAATGTTTCAGGAATAATACGGTGTTTTACGGGTGTCGATATCGAAAACGAAGAAGTTGGTAATGCTGACACTTTGGCTGTTTCGTCTTGTGTATCAAGATTTAAAATCTCACATGAATCATTCTTTCGTTCCGATCTTTTTAAAAGCTTTGCGAATTTATACATAGGATTGCAATATTTTTCTGTCGAACAATGCAATATTGCAAGACAAATTTCAACTTCAGCTATCATTCTATAATTATTTGCTTTCAATGCTTGTTCTGAAGAAGAAAGCACAAGATAATTAAGTACATATGACCAATAAAAGATAACGCTCAAATTATTTTATAATGTGTAATAATCACTTACGTATTGAATGATATGTACAGAAAACATTTTCTGTGATCTGTGTTGAATCATTGTCTGAATATTGTAGTACAATCACGTTTGGGCTACAAAATTCTGTAGTTGTTAGGTTTGCTCTTTCAAATAATTGTGGTATTCCACCTAAAATATATTTTTTATTAAAAACAGTATTTAATATTTTATTCAGATAAGTCATGGATACAATTTTCAATTTTTGGTATTTACCTGCTATTCTAATGATTTTTTTATATTTCCTATATTGAGTTGTACTAAAATGTATAAATGTTAAATTTTCAAATAACGTCGTTCTTTTCTTGTTTGGAGAAATCAATACCTTTTTTTTAGCGATTAATGGTTCATTAATTGGTGGAACAAAATTATTTGAATCTGGAAGTTGCTGACCATTATCTATTGCAGATTTAACTTCGTCCCAATATTTCATTGTCACTATTGGTAGAGCAGAAGCCATAGCAGAGGCAAGCTGTTATATATCCAAATTAGTAATACACATTCGATTAGGAAATAAATTACCCAAATTAAAAAATTTTCTCAGGGAAAATACCTTTAGTGTTAAGATAGCATTTCCTACTGTTAAATAAGTGGATGCCCTTCTCCAATCGCTGTCAGTAATTATTACACCATCAATTTCTTCCATCAATTGTTTTAATCTTTCTATCTCGTTATCACATAAAGTAGATACTGTTGTTATTATAGGCACATTTATCACCCTAATATGTAAATTTCCTCCATATAGAAGACTTATAATTATATGTAACATTTTTAGATAAAAAAAAAAGTAAAAAAACCAAAACTTACTTAAATACATGGTTCTGTAAACCAAATCTTATTGTATCTTGGTGTTTTAAAATACATTCAGTTTCAGTTAGTTGTATTATGTCATGTTCATGAAGGATAAAAGTACCATATTTTGACTTTAAGTCTTTTAGTTTACATATAGATGTTGGTTCAGTACTCTGAAACAATGTAAGAATTTTTATTTTGTAAACAGCATTTTCTTATTATATTATATTTTCCTGTTTAAAAATACCCTTATCTCCTCCAATTTTGTAACGCTAATTGAGGCATGTTCCTTGCTGATTGATTTATCATTTGGCAAAACAATGTCAGCTTTCTTCCTGCCGATTAACGTCTCTTGATTTGGTTTTAAATATATGCGGACACCTAAACACAAAAGCTGGAATAACATTGTCATTTATGATTGATCTATTACTTAATCGATAACAGAACGTACCTTGTTCATTAACCAAGTACCACATTGTAATCAACAATTATAAAGTTACACTTAATTGACTTATTTCACACATCTACAATAAGTTGACTCGCTCATAGCCTGGCATACGGTATATTGGTTAGGTATGCATGTTTATACCATGGATATATATATATATAAAGATAGAGTGCGTGCATGAACGAACTGGAAAAACGAAGAGGGAATAGAAAAAGAATATGATATTCGTGCAGTAAATATGATAATGTAACACTAATCAATGAGTGGCATCAGTTTTTATGCCTGATTAGATAAAATTAATGATTAATTAAATTTTCTTTGTATCAATTCAGTGTACCAGTTCATCAGCTCTATTTAATACAAAACAAGGAGACCTTTATTAAAAATTTCTTTTTCTTCAAAATTCAAAAGGTTTTCATTGCAAACAAAGTATAGATGTAAAATAAAATAGACATAACAATATCAGTACGCTGTTAAGTATGAATCCCAGAGCCCCGTTGGTATTTCTATTTGTGATCTTACTAATACACTATAGAATAAGATTATAACAATTTTATAAAACAATGACAGGGATTTAAATGTTCAAATTAATTGTAATTATGAAGTTATGAATATGATATAGACTTTGGCACATTTGATTTAAAATAAAATAAAAAATAACAATACGAAATAATGAATTATTTTAACAAATTTATTATTTTTATTTTAGAAATAGCATAGCAAAAGTAACTTAACTTATATATACGTACATTCATACATTTATAAATGCATATGCATTTCTTTAGACTGAGCCGGTAATATCGCATGTGATATGAAAATGGTAAGAGTAGTTTCACAATATCGTGAATAGAGTCCGTTAGTAGTATACAAATTGTGATCGAGACACACGCGCGCACACGCTCGCGTATGAATAAAAATAATTTTTTATCTTCTGTAATATTAATCTTTATAATAACGGCTGGTAATTCGCTTAAAACACAAATTAAATATATCGTACTTTTTGATATTTTATAGATTTTTATTTTATGAGTACATATGTATGTGTTTTTTAAATAATTGTATATACTTATAAAAAATACATTATAAAATCGCAAAGCAGTTTGTTGAATACGTAGTGTTAAATTTGAATGTAAATCAATTATTATCGTTAAGAAAGACAAACACATATTATAACGAGCGCATCTTCCTATAATTCGACAAATATATCTTGAGTCATTATGACCTCAATATGCTGCATTTGGACTAAGTAAGAGTAATCGATAAATTTATATGACATCATGAAAATGGAGTACCTTTTTAAGAAGGATAAATGGTTTAATTTGCAATTCTTAAAGGTAAATTGTAAGGATGAAGTTCTGTTACATATAAATAATTTTAATTAAAAAAAAGCTTCTATTGATAATAAATAACGAATGTGTTAAGGAATACGAGTACACTCGTGTATGAATGTATATTCTAGGAGAAGACAGGAATACAAATTTTAATAATTATAGTTGAGTTGCAGACATAGAATGCAAGATGGAAGTTCAGGGAATATCCTCTATTCAAAGAATTTCTCTATAATAATTCATTCTCTTTTTTCTCACACATTCTCTTTTTTCAAAGAAATACATTTCATCAACGGTGAAAGGCAATAAGATCAATGGATTATTTCTTTTTATTTCTATATTAATCTTTTCTCCATGATCTCCTAATTGGTTAATATATATTTTAAATATTAGTTTCTACATATACATGATAGATTTAAATTTATGGAAGAGATAGCATTTAATGTCAGTTTTAGTTTTCTGGGAAGGAAGAGGGTGACAGCAGTCAGATAGGTGGAAGAGAGGCTGTTTGAGCACAGCAATTTCCTTCTTAGCTCAGTTTACATAAAGGTTTATTCTGTGATGCTTTATTTTAAAAACTTCGACAGTGTAAGCAAAGATATTTTAATACAGAGATATGTTTATATAAAAACGTGTTTATGGACATTGGTTAATAAATCATGATTTATATTAAATTTCAACACATTTTACGCATCATCTTGTGTAATTCTACTTATCAGAATTATTTTTATTTCTTGCTCTTATTTCTAATTCATTTTTTCAGTTTATTTTTAAGCGAAACTACGATCTTTGGAAAATAAATGTCATAAAAAAGAATAACGATACAAAAATATATAAAAATTTTATTGAGGATATGTAGAGTAGTCTTACATTTAATAGAATATCGGACACAAATATTAATATACCTTCATGTTACGTAATGATCCTCGACGAATTGCTTCGCGAAGTCCATCTTCTTGGCTTATTTCCTACTACGAAGAAAGGAGGTTAACAAGCATGGAAGTAACGCTTCATGTATGTAAATGGATCTTCAGTAGGCTTAAACTGAAGAGCTCGGGGCTGATTTCGTTGTATGTACGAATATTGATCGACTCATTAAAAGTGTTTTCAACTGAGACAGCGCTATTCGAAATGCCGTACAGATCTATATATGTGTTTGCGAAAATACTATGTGTTTAACTAACTGAAAGAGAGTTAACGAACATTAGGGGTGCAGATCATGCACAAATTTCCCGAATGTTCAAATCGAGATACTAAATCCAATTATCGTTAAATATTCAAACAGTACAACAGCTGCATATGAGTTCGTAATTTGGTATCGTAGCATCCCTTCAAGTTGCTTATTCATTTAACCACCGAAGTATCCGATTCCGAGAAATCATATTTTAAGATAATGTGAAATATTAGATAAGTTATTGCATAATATGAAATGGTCGATTTCATGAATATGTGAACTCATTTAGAAATTAGTTACTGATAGTGCTATTAAGTAATATTTATTAGATATCAATTTATGTTTGAAACTAGCCGAACACATTATGATCCGTATTTTGTCCATTGTTTTACGACAAGAACAAGATATTTACATATATACAATGATTGTTACGGTTAATTGTGTTTTATGAGTACTTATAGCCGAACCATTTGTATTTAACTATTAATCAATCCCTAACATTCCAGAAGTAATATATGCCAATATACAGGGTGGTTGGTAACTGATGGTACAAGCGGAAAGGGGGTGATTCTACGCGAAAAAAGAAGTCGAAAATATAGAATAAATATTTTTCGTTTGAGGCTTTGTTTTCGAGAAAATCGACTTTGAATTTTCGCTCGGTACGCGTGCGGTACGTTATAACGGATCTCATTGTAGATCGTTGTCTCGATGGAAAAATTTAAAAAAGAAAAAAATAAAAAGAAAATTTTATTCTATATTTCCGATTTCCTTTTTCGCGTAGAATCACCCCCTTTCCGCTTGTACCACCAGTTACCAACCACCCTGTATGGATATTTAAATGTATTTCCAAAATTAATGTCGATATACTAATTTTTTACCAATTTGTTAAGTCATTTAAAAACTTAGATCTTCGGTATATACGTAGATCGATAAGTTCGGTTGTCTTTTAGAGTTATCAGCAAAGGTGCATTGTCCTTGTAAGTCGGGCGTTGAAAGTCATTAATTAATTCACATTTGGTAAGCATGTGCATTTATAGAACCCTAATTCCCTTAGCTATTGACATATCATGAACCTGAAATTGTGTCATAGCAATTAACGAGACCGTTGGCTGGGTAGGCATCCAGAGTCTGATCCCTCATGACCCTTCTTGTGTTATACATCGCTCCCATGTATTTTATGGTGAACAATAGATACAAAATATCATTCGTTTGTTCTGTTATCGCTTTCTTATTTTGTATTAGTACTTAAAATTCATTTCCTGTCAGAAATGTTTTTATTTTAAATAATGACGACTATCTCAAATACATTATCCACTGATTTCGTTAACTTTTTCAGTCATTTTCTCAAAACGGGTAAAGATAAAATTGTAACAGTTTCGTCGATAGTATTATTTAAATAATTGCTTCGACACAACATATGCATCAATAACAAGGAATATTAGAGAAGCATCAAACTCTATATAGTTAGAATAAACGAATAGGAACAAAAGGTCGTACTTGATTCTTTGGTATAAAAAGATCGACATGATTTTCCAATACAAAAGTTCGATGCGTCATATTTACGTTTATCAATTTAGAAAAATCGCAAAACGTTAATATAATCTACAGTTTAATAAGTGATTCAGTTTTACAAAGTTTACTTCGATTTTTTTTTTTGTATTTCCGTCGATTCCAATAAATTCAAGAAAACGAAAATACTTTTTGATGTAAAAGGAATCCCTCAAGGGATTGGCATTGACCTCTATCGTATTTCAAAGTGTTCACTCGAGACGTTTCTTAATCTCGCTGTTCTATGCGACTGAAGCTTGATCTACTTTTATTCGCAACGATGAAAAGTTCTACCGTACTCGACAACGATCTCCCTGTTATGCAGGCTGCTTTACACAGCCATAGCTTTAGTCGACACTTTATCACTTTCATCGCCCAAGAAAACTTTTGCAATTAACGCAGTGTCAGCTAGAGAATGTTAATTTGACCGAGTTACCGACGCCCTCTATACGGTGAATACCATCACTTTATTATTCATTTTCCTGATGTGATTGCTATAATATTTTCAACAAACGATCCTCTATCTTTTCACTTTATCTATCAAAAATCACAATTTATATGTGAACGAAAATTATTAATAGCATGATGCGAATAGGTTTAATTTCTCGCGTGTATATGTCGTGTGGGATATTTGAAATTTGATCGTGGAATTTACAATAAATTATTATTGTTACATATCAATGAGACTTAAATAATAATTGTGGAAAGTAATGAACTTATTAGTGCAAGTTTCTAATGTAATTCCTTAAAGTTATTGTATGTGGATATTTGTGATGTTTAGTATCAGAAAAATTAAACAGATTAATAAATAGACACATGTGAAGCTTTTTTTATATGCATTATGAACTACAAGTTTTGTCAACTTCATATTCAGATAACAAAATTTGAAAATCGTATAATTCGTATATGTGACTTACACAATTTTATTTACAATTAGAATCGGAATTTTTTAAGAAAACTATTTAAAAGTCACAATTGTAATAAGAATGTTTATTTTTATGTGCATATTAAATTAGAATTTTGTAACTTTAATACTATCTTTTTTTTTTTTAATACTATCTTTTTAATACTTTTTTTAATTCTATCTTAATATTAAGTATTTTATGACTGCTTCTTTCTAATAAATCACTCTTTTTTATCCATGAACATAACTCAA